TAAAAAAAAGAGAGAGATAACTTTTAAATGTTAAACCTATATTGGCACTTGGTGAAAGAAGCTATGTGTTGGTTAGTCTCTAAACTGTCTTTGTTTTTTATAAGGCTCTTATCATGTCTTCATTTAACTCTGTGGATTTGTTGTAATTTGGGAATCAATCTTGTACATATTGTGATATATTTTTGCGCTAGGTTTTATAGAAGATTTATCAGTTTTATCAACTTTTTCTGGCCTGTCATATTGACTTAACGTTTTACCAACCATTTGCACAGCTGTATGTCTACAGACTTACAATACTAGAAACTTGACTTTGATACCCATGGTGTACACAGCACAAATAGCCCATCATGTAGCTTTGTGCTTAAATTACAAACAAACAAGAAGTTCTAAGTGTACACTATATGTCATCTTTAAAAGCTTAATTTAAAAAATATATAATTCCAGTTATTTCAGATATTTTGCACAACTGATATTTTAGCATGATTAGTAAGAACTTTTGAAAGTAAAGAAAAGTGTATAACAAAATGGTAATGTGACCTTTCAACCTATATGAGAGCTCTTCAGACTAATTGGAATATGACAAACATAGAGGTTGAGGTACTTTATATTACAAAATTTCATGACAAAAACTGTCGTGGTGTAAAATGGGTTAAGTTGTAAATATTCATCAATTTTATTTATGTCGCAACACACCAGCAGGGTGGGAAATTCATGGTTGCAATTGCTGCCATACTTTTCAAAATGGTCATGGTATCCTCAGAAAATTAGCAAGCAATTCAAATCAGTGCTCAAACAAGAAACCTGCAGAGCTTACACAAATATTCACGGCGACACGTACATGTACTAGTCAGAGTGAAGTGTGCGACTGCAAATACTCCTTGCATTAAACATGACAAAAAAGAAACAAGTTAAGAGGGAGAATGCTATGAAACTTTTCTTTGTGACTGCCAAGTGCCAAAAGTTTGAAACTTTTCCATCAGTAAATGTGTAGATTACATCCTGATTTTTCAGAAAATGAAGGGAATAGGATATGTCAATAATGCTGCTAGATAAAGTTTATGTGCAAACCCACTAATGGCTTAGGTCTACTATGCTAACTAGCTATGGTTAACTTTACTGAATTACAAGTAGCAAGTTGTGCAATGCAGAGTATGATGATGCGTGATTTATAGGTTATGACCAAGCACTGTAGTTTAGGCCTAGTTTCCTGTTTATCAGCACAAGCGTGCGTTAGAAATTATGCAAAAAAATACTTGTAGTAGTATCGTTTGGAAATAGAATGTTGACCTTATGTCATGCAATGTGTCTTTTTATTTATCTATCTGTCAACATTTTCAAAGGGCTGCTGTTTGGAGACTGTGTAACCGATTTTTGTCAATTTTGGCCAAGGAGTCAGATGTATTGGAGTTGAATTTTGTTGGTATAAATTAGGCTTTTAAACTTCTCCTCCCAGGGATTTTGTGTGATTGTTCTCAAAGTTAACCAAAGTAATAATTTGATAGAGGTGCATAAAAGTTGGATACAATTCTTAGGTCAAAGGTCATTTGGGGTCAGGAGGGGCAAAAAAAGCTAGAAATCTTATAAAACACTTGTTCTCTGTATGTGCAAGTCTGGTCTTTATCAAAGTTGGATAAATTAGTAAGTGGATAGAGATGCCTGAAATTTGTGAGATCACCAGTGGTCAAATCCAGGAAACCTTTAAAATGCTTCTCCTCCCAAGGATACCTACCTACCAGATAAACATAATCTGGAAAGATAGTCTAGCTTCCCAAGCCCCCAATGAAGATAATGAATGTCATATTTTCTAAACTAATTGAGAAACTTATTTCTATTCCATTAATGTTAAAGTGTACTGTGGCCTTAGTGCCCTTCAGTCAATTTTTTGGGGCCTTGGTGCCCTAGAAAATGAGAGAAAAGCCAAGGTGAAATGGCCTTGCCCTAAAAATGATTAATTTTCTGGCCTGCATCAGGAGTAGAGTGCAATGCTTATATACTTTCATTTCTTTCTTGATCCTGTGTGTCTGAACTGTAAACATTACATTTCTATATGCTTGTTTTATGCTTCTACAATTTCTTTTTGTTGAACTGTAAACTTATTGGTTGAATCTACATATATTTCATCTCCTTGAAAGAGGTTTTCAGAACTTTAATGGATTCCTAACAATTAAAAAGAATTGATCCTAACGCCAGTAAAAAGATACTTAATTTGAGTGTTACGCAGTCTAAATTCCAGTAGTGCTGTGCAAGTTGAGTGTGTTCAAGAGCTATGAAAAATCCCAAAACAAATTTTTGAAATACATGCATATTAATGTGAGGCATAAAAGTTTTTATTTTATGAAGATGTTCTTTTCATTTCCTATGTTTTTATGTTCTATTATGCGATTTTTTCATACAGATTCATAAAATTTTATTTTTTATTTGTATAAACTGAATGGTATTTAGAAAGTCTGTACAAAGTTTCATACAATTTAGTAAAGTACTATCACTGAAAATGTAAAAAAAAAAAAAAGGTTAATTTGTCTGGTCCAGACAAGGGCTAACAGACAAAGGTGAGGTTAGGACATATATTTGTTGTTTTCAAACTTGTACTTATCATTAGAGGTTTGAGTTTTATATACTGTTCTGTTGTTTATGTTCTTATATATACTTTCCTACTTTGCAACCTAATAACAGTCAAAAATGAAATTGTGAGTTCCTGTACATAATCAAATTCCTATCTGGAAGAGTGATATGTAGTTTCACCATTCAATGCTAACATGGCTAAACATGTTTCTTTAACTTGTTTAGTAGGCCAAAATGATTTCTATCAGTTTTAATCTCATCGGGTGTTTTTAAAAAACTTTACTTTTTTTTATAACATGGGGAGTCGTTACTGTTGGGTGCAACACCTAATAAATCTTTAGACCTAGAGTGTTTAACACTTTCTTACTGTGCCTAACTAGTTACTAAGCTAAATCAGTATAAATCTGTGTTTAGATTTCTGTTTTTATTAAAAATAACTATTTATTATAGCATAATAGTCATTTAATTTTATGAAAAGTTGTAGGTTATTTGTTTCTTTCTTTTTCTTTGTATCAGAATTACTAAAGATAGAATATAATGACTTTTGTACTGGTTTGTTAAGGCCAGTCATTGTATGAAAAGCAAAATGATATAGAATTATGTACATTTCAAATGCCTTCATCTATTTTTAAGTAAATGTGTTAACTGACCTTTATAATTTGGATTTGAAATAATCATCAGTTTACAAATATCCTTTTTTCAGTATTGTTTGACATGATTCATAAGGTATCATTATAAATAAGCTACAATTATTTCCATCTTTTATGATTACTCTCTTGCTTCTCATGAGCTCTGATATAGGTAATGATGAACACACAGAGATAATAGTACAGAAATTGATAGAACTTAATTGATTTGCTGAATATCATTTTTCAGGAGAAGTGATTAAAGACAAAGATCGCTGTAAGGTCTGTAGGGGTAATAAAGTAGTAAATGAGAAGAAAATATTAGAAGTGCATGTGGATAAAGGAATGCGAGATGGACAAAAGGTACAATTTAGAGGCGAAGGGGATCAAAAGGTAAACATAATGAGGAGAGAATTGTGTTTCATATTTAGAAGCAGCAAATAAATAATGTAGAGATATTGACATAATACATTTTAATATGTTTGACCATTAGCTAAGATGTTCTGTATTATTTCTTTGTAGCTACTTTCATTATAAAGATAGTTTTGAATTGTTAACTTAGTATATATATATCTATTCAGGATCAACTTAAATCCCCTAATCTAGCAGAACCTTGTGACATGTTATTGGAATTATGTTTGGAAATATTGTTAACAACAAGGGTACCCTACTGATGACACAATGCATTTCAATCTTTACACATAAAAGAGTGTAAAGAAAATATGTTTAATTAGCTGTAGTCATTACTGATACCAGGTTGAATTTTAGTTTTACTCTAGACAGGTAGCTTGCTCTGATCAGAAGTTAATAATTTCTTTTTCATATTGTTAGAGCTGTAGGTTTTATGTCGTATAGAGGTTAACAGCTATATATTTGAACCATATTAACTAGCTAAAAATAGCTTCTTTTTTTTCAATGAAATAGAAAAGAGAGCCTAGAATTCTGTTAACCGATAAAATTGCAAAAGATAAAAAGCAGCTAATTGTTAAAACTTGTTTATTAATGTTAATATGCTGTCAAAATCCCCTGTTCAACACCATGTAATTTTTCAAGAAGTAAACTCTATTCACAGTGATGAGAAATTTTATTATCAAAGTCCAATTTTTTTTTATAACTTCTGAATTTAGAAATTATATCTAATTTTGGCTCTTAATAAAAGTAAGCTTCTACTAGAAATGATGAGTAGTAGCTTAAATTATACTTTTATTATTAGTTGGGATCATTGATGAATCCAGAGTATATAACTCTGTTGGTGGATGGATAGAGTAGAATTGAAAGAAAAACTGTTAATTTAATGTGATTTTATAATTTATTGATGAGAGAAGTTCATGATCTTACTTAGGTTTTAAAGTAATACTCAAGAATATGAGGAACAGTGAAAACAAAAACAATCAGCCAAAGATGTATAGAACAGTAAAAAAGAATAGAAAAATCAAGCATAATTCTAATTTTCAAGCACACTTCGAAAAACGATTCACTAAGAAAGTATGAGAAAACATAAAATAAGTTGTTTTTTTTAAATAAATAAATGACATTTTAGAAATACTACTAAATCGTTAAAGTGGCACTGGTGTCCAGGTATCGGGACCATAGCTATTATTATGCAGGTGTTAAGAATATAAACAGTTATCAATATCCATGAGTCAGGACTATAGTTAACTGTACAAAACAGGTATCATTATGCAGGTGTTAGGAATACAATAAACTGAAAATTTATTAAGATCCAAGTATCGGAAGAAACTAAATGTAAAAAAACAGGTGTCAGTATATAGGTATGAAGACTTGTAGGTAAACATAAACAGTTTGTCCTAATACAACTAATTATGACGTACAGGTGTGAAAAAGGATATAAATAAAAAAATATATTTGCTTATGTTTTACTACTTGTGGGAATCTTACATAATTCTTTGATAAATGACAAAAAATATAATTGTTGGGTAAAAAGTAAGATAAAAGTGTAGTTGCATAACATTAACAGTAATTTTGTAATTCTAAGGTAGAACAAAAGATTTTATTGTATCAATAAACAGTTTAAAAATTTCGTTAGCATCGGTTTAAAATTATTTTCAAATGTAAAGATAATTTCCTGATGAAATTAACTTAGAAGATATGTAATTTTTTTTATTTTAATTAGTATGCTAATTTTCCTTCCTCTTTCAGCCAGGAATGGAACCTGGAGATGTGGTCATTGTGCTCCAAGAGAAACCTCATCCACATTTCCAGAGGAACGGTAACGATTTGTATATGAACCACAAAGTTAATCTCACTGAAGCACTTTGTGGATTTTGTATTGCTATAAAGCACTTAGATGGACGTGACCTGATAGTAAAACATCCTCCTGGAGAGGTTGTGAAACCAGGTAAGTTGCATTTGGTAGTAAATACTGATCAACAATCGCATGCAACAAGTTTAGTTCGTAGCATATAAGTAGTGTATTTAAATTAATGTATATTCAATATTTCTTGAACCTAAGGCTTAAATTGTTTAATTTAATCATATATATATAACTTTTGCTACTATAAAGAAGTGTAAAGAATTCAACCAAAGTTATTTGATTTGTATCTGAAACTTTTCTAAATTCTTATCCTTAAAAGAAAAGTCATCATTGCTGCTGTTGAAAACTGTTTGTAAGCTTTAAAATACCCCCTTATTCCATACCTAGTTATGTTGAATAGCAGGAAGTGTTAGTTGTAAGGGCTTATTTCCTTTTGTGTTCATGTACAATTCACCAATCAAAAATGTTAAATATTTGTTGTTATTATTCAAAGAAAGAAAAAAATGAAGCAGTTCTGTTTACTGTGCTTTTCACATTCTTTTCAACAGATTTGTACCACATACTAGCTAACCCCATTTGTTTTCTTTTATACACCTGTTTGTAGGAACCATTAAGGGAATTCAGGGCGAAGGAATGCCTATTTATAGGGATCCGTTTGAGAAAGGAAATCTGTACGTTAAACTTGATGTTGAATTTCCCCCGGATCATTTTGCAGAAGTAGAAAAACTTAAGGTAAGACTTATTGAAGCTTGGAATATGTAATTCCGTGAGTTCATAAGTTAAGACGACAAGCAAGCTAAGCAGTTGTTTTAATATTCTTAAGATATTCAGTTCTTTTAACTATACGGTTTGTACTTATTGAAGAGCTTATATCCACAACTATAGTTAAGGCTTAATCTAGCACTAAAATTAATATAATTATTTGTATATACACTAATTTAATATGTGTGTGTGGCGAGTGGAGAACTAGCAGGAATGTTAATATCGTTATAATTGATTGTTATGTGAACGTCACCAAAAGTACTTATAAGTATGCTAGCACAACTGTTTGTTAGCGTAACAGGTATTGCAGCATTGTTATACAGTACTGTAGCAACAAAGAAGACAGTGATTGTGATGATAAATGCAGATAAGCATGTCCCATGAATAAGCTTTGAGTTAGATATTCACTGTATCACTTAAGTGTTAACACAAAGTAGGATTGCTTGTATTCCTGGAATGATGAATTGACGCTTGTAGCTTTGTAACATATGTAACCTTTTTTATTTAACATTTCTAGAAGATCCATTGTCGTTTTTAATGATTTTTCAGCTGCTGGAGAAGCTGCTGCCAAAAAGGCCACTTTGCAAGATTCCTCAAGGTGAGCATGTGGAAGAAGTGGATCTACATGACTATGATCCTAACACTAGTAGAAGCCAGGGTGCTGGGAGATTCTCAGAAGCTTATGAATCAGATGATGATGCTGGAGTACACATGGGCCCTGGAGTTCAATGTGCACAACAGTAGAATTCTTATGAACTTTAATTCTTGGATAAAAATAATTTGTAACATTTTTTTTTTTTTTTTGACTAAGTAACAATCAAGATATAAACTTTGTTTTTTAATATTTGAAAGAATTGGTTTGAAGAAGTGGAGTCAAAAATAAAAAAAAGACTTCTGTTGATTGAGTAATATGTATGGTGAATTTGTCAGACCTTCCTGTATATGTTAGCCTTTTTTATCGAGATTTATGTGGGCCCTGTATAGACCTTATACTTATGGAATATATATATATATTTCCATTATGTAGATTTCCAATCACTGGAATGAATCTTAGTCAATAAATTTTGTTCTTAATTAATACATCTGATACTTCATAGTGCAATGATTTCAGTGCTGTTGAAAACAATTTAAACTACATATAGATTGTTGTGGCGCCTTGTGTCTGGTAATAACATCTTGATCCAGAAGGTGGCCAAAATAATTTGGGAATCTGAAATAATGATGGTCTTCAATTTGAGTGTAACTGATAGTACTTTAGTTCTCAAGAACTCGAACAATGTAATTATTCTTTGCAAGTAAGCAAAAGAAGAAACATTTATTTTTATAAAAGTTACCTCAGACGTTTTTTATTTTGAGCACAAATAGAGCAGTGTTTTCCAATCATTTTGGCACAGAACCCTCTCCTTTTTATGCACACGATAAATGAGACAGATTTCTCATGTATGAACTTAATGCAATAATACAGATATATTTTCATTTACTGCATAACAACATAAGAAGAAAAAAACTTGGACGAAGGCAGAACATAATCATTTGAAATTCAAAAGAAAATTACGGAATTTAGTTTTAAAATAAAAGAGTATATATTTAAAAAAAAAAGTTAATAAAACATCAGGTTTTTTCAAGTAATCCAACAGAGTATGTATGACCTTAATGTTCAACTTTAAATGATAATTAACAGTTTATCATATTGCAGTTGACTTCTTAGAGAAGATTAAAGTAAGTTTGGAGTTAACCTAGTAGCAGCAAATAGAAGATCTTCGTGGACAAATTACTTGATGCATGCTGCTGTTTTAATGCTGGCGCGTGTACTGAATGTTGCAAAAGAGCAGTGTAACTTTGACGGTTGCATATAAAGTTTGATGGGTACAATAATTGCACCTTTGGCAAACTAAACGTGCTCTGGACCAACACCGGTGGAAAAACGCTAATTCTCGTTAAGATTGAGGTGTTTTCATTTATAAAAGTTACCATTCATAATCCAAACCAAAAATTTTTCTGACAAACTCCCATCATCTGCCATGAACCTCCAAGGGGACACTGATCTCATTGTTAACAACGTCAAACATTTCGTCTCTGTTTCAAAATCATTATGGAACATTTAGTAAACAGTTTTATGCAATGAAGAAATCGTTCATTTTTTGGGCTTTAACTGCAATAAACTCACCTTAGTAATATTTTTTTTCTCTTCACTAGATTTGAAGTAATCTACACAATATAATACTTAATGCCACACATAGCATTTTTTCTTAGCTTTTGAACTTCCAATATTAATGTAATCTGAAGAAAAAGATAATTCGTTCGTGGGTGATACTAGTGTCTCAAGTTTCTGAGAGTGTTATGTGTGTATCCGTTTTGTTTTATTGCACGATTTGTCCAACTATCATTAATATTCTCTCTGACTATTATATCAAATACTTGGAATTTCTTTTGTAGTTGTATTTTTGAAGTCTTTCCATCTGAACTTTTAAACATTCGAATTACTGACTGTAGGTGTATATTTAACGCGTTGTTTACAATCTCGAAAATCTGGCACGGAAGGGGAATGGTTGTAGATGGAAGGAGTAAGAGAAATTTAACAATTAGCAATCAAGTCAATTATTAGAGCTTTTGATTTTTCAAATACATTTTTATATTCACACATGTCGGGGGAACTTGGATTAATAAAACCAAGAATATTTAAACGTAAAGTATTTGGATTATTTATAGAATTTTAAATTGTAGCCATTGTTAGTTTCGCTGAAACCATAAAAATGTAGCTGCCACCAAATGATGTCAGAAAACCAACAGATAATGTAATTGTGGTATTGTTGCCATGTTATAGGTATTTATAGAGTGCCTCGGAAATTGGTTTTTATAGGCCAAATTTCTCCAGAAGTTTGCAGAATATGATCAAAATGACCGCCCAGTAATGAAGACGTTCAATCCGGATCACTTTCACACGTTCAGCAATATTCCGTGTCATTGTCTAAAAATGTGGACAGAAATAAGAAAAACGATGTTAATGTCCTCAATATTACAACGAGTTTTGGGTCACATCCTGTACGTTGTTTGAAAAAAATGGCCTTCTTCTATTCCTTGCCCAACAAATCCTCTCGCATATTTCAGTGTGTGTTGTGTTAAAGAGCGTAATAGATGTAAACACAGAACTGTAATATAACTGGCAATACTACAAAATATGAATTGCTGTTTTATCCCCTTGGACGAGTCAATTCTGTAAGTGGAGGTACTCGCTCTTAATAAGGTTTACTATCTGGTCAAATAATTGTGGATTTATCTTAAGGAAAACGTGCAATTACAGTGAAGAAACGAAATAATCCATGAATTACGTAATGCCTAATCAATTCATTGATTCGCTACTCCCTCTGCAATAGACTAGTATCGCCGAATGCATGGTTAATTGGTCCTACTTGTGAGAGCAATTCAAAGAAGAATAACCCTCTTATACTGAAGGAATGGTAAACAAATTTCAAGGTTTGGTTTTCCAGCTGTTTCATTGAATAATTAATTGTGACGGTAGAGACACTCGTTACTAAAATACCTAAAGTACTTTAGATAATAAGTAATGAGTAAAGGACTTTACATCAAACCCTGAAAGTAGGTTTTACTTGCATCTTAAACAGTGAATAGAGGCAACCATGGCACACAAAATTCTGCTTCTTTTCTCTCTCTACAACTCCATATTTGTTCCCGAGGGGGGTCCAGAGATCATATGTTAGCTTCACGACTGTGACCTCAGTTTGGGATTTCGTCAGAAATCGAGATGTGGTGTTATCATTTCACTTCCAGTTCATCAAGGTTAACTTAACAACTCTGAAAGCGATTAGATTATGGTTGCACATGTTTAAAGAAGTGTTTTCGTTGACGTGTTATATACACACCGAGAGTGAAGTCTGCTGGTTTTTTAAATATAGTAGATGGTTGATTCGTAATTTTCAAAACCAAGGTGTGAGTACAAAAAATCAAGTCTTTTGATTGATACTTAGAAAATGTGTGTATTAATTTAAAGCAGTCTCATTCACTTTACGAAGTGATATTTTACTTGTTTTGCTAGTTTGCAAGACGTGTTCAACTCTAAACTAACACCTCAAGACTCCTTTATCACGTTTTCTCACTATACTATGAAAATTAAACATTTTTAATATATCTTAACTAAAGGCCTCGCATGTTCGGGTGGTTATGGCGCTCGATTCGCAATGTGTGGGTCGCGGGTTCGAATCCTATTGCTGAACATGCTCGTCCTTTCAACCGTGAAGACGTAATAATGTGATGGTCAATCTTATTATTCATTAGTAAAAAGTAGCCCAGGAGTTGGCGGTGAGTAGTGTTAACAAGCTGCCTTCTCTCCAATTTATTACTTCTAAATTAGGGAAGGCTAACACACAAAGAAACTATTAAATAGGGGGGGGGGGTTGTCACGTGGCGCCATCTCTGGCTGAAAAGGCACTATATAAATATAAACATTTTGTCAGCGGGCTCAATGGTTGTTTTCCTTCTTACAGTGGAATTCTCCAACATATATAGTGAAAACGGAAACCATGAACTGCACACATTGCTTCTATTCTTTATCGAATGAGCATGACCTCTGAACCTCATCTATTTTGCTATGCTTTTCTACCACCATGATGAGAAGATAGTTTTCCTATGGTGTTAAAAATGAATATCTGGATGGAAAAAAATGAAGGCCATCACCCCTCTTTTCAGTATTAGGCTAACTTAGAAAGAAGTTTTCGTGCTATTTTCCACGCTGATTTTTCCAAGCCAGTTCCCTTGGCTGTGGTTTCGCTAGATAACTTCGTTACAATATGTGTCACTGGTTTCTTTCTTCGTCACTGCAGACAATATATGGAACAGCCATACCTTTGCACTGTTTATGGTGATAAAAATTTATAAAATTATTTAAATTTGTTGTTACTCTATAGATAGCCCGAGAATTAGAACTAGCAAATTTCGGTTATATGAATAAATGCATATATGTAAAAATACCAAAACAAGTTTTTTTTCAGATATATTTTTTATGTTACCTTACTTTACCATAGATTTTGATATCAGTATGTACCTGGTTCTTATATAACTATCTTTCATGCTCCTGCGTCATATCTATTCGTTTTAAAAAGTGGGGTAAGGCAGTCTAGTTGTGATGTCATTGTTCATTTGTTTTCGGATATTCGGACAAAGATTAACACGCCGCCCCTAATTTTGAAATATTAGACTAGAGGCAAAGAAGCTAGTCGACACCGCCCAATTCTTGGACTACTCCAGTTTGAAAGTCACTCTTATAACGTATACCCACGATTTTGGGGCAACGGGACGCGAGCCACGGATTCTCGCCCGGCCGTGAGTGACTTAAAATGGTACTGTAGGAAATATGCAAGTTGTGTTAAGGGTTATGTTTTTTCGAGTCTTATCACTTTATAATCCATTGCTGGCAAAAAAAAATATCACTGAAAATTTGCTACAAAGCACCTTTTTTCACATACGCGAATATGCTTTTCACCAGTTCCCGAAATTCAAATATTTAGACAGAAATAGTTTTTCGTTGTAAAGCTTTACGACAAGATTTAAGTGTGCAAAGAGTATATCCGGTTTTTCTGTGTTAACTGTTTACATTCACTGGTTGCATCCTCACTTTCCCGAAAATTACCCCCCCCCCCCCCTCAAGACTAAAATACTTTATAACTGCCTAGCTTGCAACTGGTTTAGAACGGTGACTCGTGGTATACATAAGGACTTATCCTACACGTACTTTATAATATATTCCTGTATTAATTCGTCACGACGTTGTTAAGCCTTGAAACCTTATTTTAATACTTTTAAACGTGCGCTTAGGAACGGCTTGTACGCACAAGGTGACGCAATAAGAAAGGTATTACAAATGCTTCATTTTCAGTTTTCACTAACAACGCTACAACAAGGGAGGGGAGGAGGTGACCCCTTAAACGTGTCCGCTTCTGCTAACACACTTTATCTCCCAGAATACAATGTCTTCAATTACATGGAGGAAAACAATCCAACAATACGTTATCCAATACCTGGCACGCCCTGTTGTCTTTGAAGCCAATTACAGTATAAAGAGGTAAAA